GCTTTACGGGTTACACATTTGTCTTCATTATATGCCACACCCAGAAGTGGTCGTGTTTTGACGGCCTTTCACAATGGGACACATAACTGCGAATCCAAACATTTAATGAAAGGGCCAGAATTTCTAAGATGACAAAGAATAACAAAATGATGACAGTGATCGAAGGTCAGTGCAATCTAATGCCACAGTAGCGAGCAATTTTTGACACTTTTCGCTTACTGTAGCTAACTTTTTCCGCAATTCCAAGCGACTCAAACGTCGTCTGTAAATCCCTTCCGTATGACTCTCGTACTACCTCTAGCCTTTTAAACTGTTTCAAGAACCCTTATACATATTTCGCAAATTTTTGTGTAATTTTGCACTCTTTTCCCCACCGATTCACTATTCTGCACCTACACTTCCGTTATCGACTTGAAAACGGTACCTCAAAATGATCGTGGACTGCGTATTTACCTTGGTTGCCTAGAAAGTTTGGAGAAAGTCTATGCAAAAAATTGGGCAGACAGGATGCGAGATTTAGAAGAACAGAAGCGTTGCTTAGGTCTTCTTTCGTTGAGTTAGTGAATTCTTATTCCAGGTCAACCAGGATCATGCCTTTCCAAATTCAACACGATGCCTTTCATGTTCTGCAATCTTAACAGTGTCTGCCATCTCTCGAGCAGGAACGACTATTCGTTCTGGTTGAGTACTGAAGAGCCGATGACACCCATGATGAATCCGGTGCGTGATTCCTTGAAACTTTATGGTACAAATCCATGCATATTCCTTAATCTGCCGGAGCCATTGGCATTGTTATGGGTTCAGAATCCTATTGTTGACTGTTTTTCTTCTAATAACGAGAATAGCGGGTAAGTGTCCACTTTCGGCTTCACTTTTCAATCAATTCTCCCAGAGGGTCTGAATGTGACAAAAGGTTAATCAAATTGTTTTCCCTCTCTGCATCGAACGCGTGTTACTTGAATCATATTCGAATAAAGCGATCTGAAATTCTAACAAGGATGGGATTTGTGGGCAAACCTCGGTCTCGGACGGGACTCGAACCCGTAGTTGTGCTTTCCGGGCAATGTGCTCTTTATCCCTCACACTACCGTGACCCCGCCTGCCCTCGCCTTCTTAATGGCTCATATCTGGATCCGTATTTATTATATCTGTACTACTTGGACTTCGTAAAGTGGAATCGCCTTCATTCAGGTTTCTGGCACGGCTATTCGTCCATATATCTCTCGCTGTGCAGTATGTGAAGTTCCCACACAGATCATCGCTGTCCATTCCCAAGATACTGCTGTACCCATGTGCCCTGCAGGATGGAGAGGACTATGGAGTGGTTACTCGTTCGTCATGGTACGTAGTAGTTCATATGCACATTCATTGCGGATAAGATGGGTGGATTTTTTGACCAATATGAAAAATTAAGTCAAAGTAATTGGTCAGTGTCATTTTTCAGCACACGGCAGCTGGTGCTGAAGGAACCGGGCAGTCTCTTCAGTCACCTGGTTCTTGTTTGGAGGAATTCCGAGCTGTTCCCTTCATTGAATGCCACGGTCGAGGCACATGTAATCATTATGCCACTAACCACGGTTTCTGGCTTGCTATTGTCGACAGAGTAAGAAGGAACTTTTGGATTCGATTACCTCAGAATTTGCAATATCATAACAAATCCTTTTTTCTTATAGGACAAACAGTTCCGCAAGCCCATGTCACAAACGCTTAAAGCGGGCGGATTGAAGGATCGCGTATCGCGCTGCCAAGTTTGTTTGAAGAATCGATAATCAATATATCGCAAATATATTTATCTATATACGACATTCTTAATACTCACTGACTTATTTCCATTGCCCATCCTACTATGTCCTTAGCTGCTTTCTCATCTCATATCAGTAACCTTCCTATACTGCCTTATGAGTGACTCATCCGTGGTGCTTTGAATGATTCATGTATGTTTAGAAATGATGATTAGTTATGTTATATTTGATAGCTCTAATAATTACTGCCACGTGGGACCTGCCAATTTGCGGTACAATTCGAGAAGAAGTTATTTGTTACGGATCAGATGCTCTTTGTGGTAAAAAGCGTATACAATTAAATGTTGTCTTAGCTGAGAGCTAGCTGCAGATGATTACATTCTTATTTACAAGCGAACAGCTTTACTTCACACAACTTCACACACTCTCGATACCCATCATCCACAACACCCACGTTAGGTTGCTAATGAACCCCTATGTGTGAACACCTGATCGCGTTTAAGACAAGAGTTTTGATCCTTCCACCACACCTCCCTAGTTTGTGGAATTGTTAGAATATCAACTGAGGCCCGAGAACTTGCTCATATCACGCAGCGGTGCATTTTTGCCCGTTAATCAGAAGTGACCAAGTGTTTCTAAGAGTTCGGTACATCATCTGTATTTTTTCGCCGGGGATTACTCGAATTGCTTGGCCCTTCGGTGAAAAGTGGACGAGATTGGATCCTCAACCATTTCTTCTTTCTCCTATTTGTATTTTTGAAGGCAAAAATAACATTTTTGCACGGAACTCGGATAAATGACTTGTTGGAGCTTAACCAGCTGGCGATAAAAATGAAACGACTGACAGTTCCCCGTGCTCATACCCTACAAAGAGATTGTCACCGAGCTTACTAGATTTTATTTCATTCTATCACATGAACATCTGAGGTTGAATCATACGCCATGACTATCATGTGTTATTCCTGTGGATACTTATGCATCCACTATCTTGACATTCTTATTTTTTCAGCACATACGGTACCTATACGATGACCACTTCTTTAGTTGTGGGGGACGGAATATTCACCCAGAACTGGATGGACGCGGCAAATGGCGCGGCGAGATTCGTGGCGTTTAGGACGACTTTGGCCCCTATCATTGGGGTGCAAACTTGAAGTGGAGTACATTAGTGCGGTCTGATGATCGCTAATCGACTCTACTTCAAATTTGGGCCCCGACAGTAGGCGCTGAAGTCCTTCAAATCGCCACGAATTTCGCCGCGCGATATGCTGCGTCCATCCAGTTCTGGGTGAATGTACCCATACCCCTTTTGTTGTAGGCCACGGGGCATGAGGAGACCTCCGTCACACCATTCACTTTCATGTTGTGAAACGGAAGGGCTATTTATATAACTTTCCGAGAGACAAAAAGGCTTTTCATGCAATTAGCCGAGATCGCATAGAGAATTTTTGGGTGTGACGATCTTCACACGACCATAGTGGCGGATCGTAGCCTCCCTAATCGTTTAAAAAAAAAACACAAATAACTAACCTTACAAAGTCCAAAGCTGAATCGAGTGATTGATGGTTAATGGAGGCAACACTCGCATATCAAAAAGGAGATATGTGGCTTCTTGTGAAATTTCTGGGTACGCATTACTAAAATTTGCATTACTAAATAGATAGATTTTCTTTTCAACAAACAAAATATTATGATGACGGACAGGAAGAAAGGAGTTGGAATGTGGAACTCATAACAGATCAGAAACGAAAAAGAGAAAACTGAACAAATATTCCAAGTGTATTCAAATAAAACCTACGGACAACGCAACGCTGTAAGATACCAATTACAGAATAGGGAAGCATTTAACCATCTGTTGTCCCTTTAAACACACCTGCATCAAAGGAAGTCCGCTAGGCACATCATATTGCCAATGGAAGACTTTCTCACTATGGCTAATTCTATTACAACTCTTAGTGACAACCTGACAATCTGACACCCCGTAAGTGACAAAGAGAACGAAAGTTGCTGTATGCGGTGGCCCCTAAGGATTGCGGTTCTAAAACAATGCTATCAGAACAGTCTTATGATTGTAAAGGGTCCGCCAATATGTGCAACTGAGAAGATTCGTGACAGTTATGAGGAAGAGAAAATCTGCTGACAGTTGCAAAGGATCGAGTTATTAGAAAAAGCTATCTTGAAATGGAAATGAACATTTACTCTGGGCGGCCTGCCACACAACAAATAAACTCAAGTGCGGGTTAGGACACTTGTTACAAAATCGCTCGCTATTTCTCACGGCGTAAGTTTAGGGGCGACAGCACAAAAAAAAAT